GAGCCCATTTCAACATTAACAGGAGCCTCTGATGAATACCGCCATATCGATTTCTTTTTTGGATGCTTTGAACTTGAATTTGAGTCAAAGAGCTCAACGACGAGGGTGATCGGGGTGCTAGGAAAACGAAGACGACAACTACAAGGAGATCATGAAATCATATAAAACATACCAACTTGGCAAAGGGACTAATTCATCGGTATACATCTGGAAAACTTCATCAATAAATATTCCATTTTTTCCCAGGCACTTGACAAATAAGTTTCCGTTTTTAGTGTGAAGTTCTAAATGTTTCCGCGAGATGCACGCCACATCGCCCAGACAGATATCATTTGACATATGACTCCGGCGACCAACAGAAATGACCTCTTTTTTTAGGCAGTGGGTGAAATTTGGACCCGTTACTCGGGTATACATATCTTAGGTCATGAATGCCAAACAAGCGCGCAAATAGATGTAAACAAAAATACTACGTCTGAGATGCGCTCCACGGACTTTGAGGTTGTTATAATTTATATTTGTGCAGAAAAACACAGCTCGAAATTTTGGCCTCGTCCCGGTCTCCTAAAATTCAAGAAAAATATAGTCTTGAACAATAAAAGATGGTTTTCATTTTGAAATTTTTGTCCATTAAGAGCAAAAAAATAAAGCTGCCGTTTACTGAACAAATATGGGTTACGGGTGGTTGGTCTCACCAAAAGTCCGTGTGCTTAATTCAGATGTTATAATGCGCAAATGTAAATCCCTGAAGTTTCCGGCATCTTTCTTAAGAGGTTCTCAAGACCATTAAAGTCTAGCCAGGAAGTTCAGCTTATCATATTGTAGGGACAAATTAGCGTCGGAAACTCTGATTAAACCACTGCAATCAGACTATTCGCAGCATAATACTTTCGTCACTTAACTCCCCACTTATATCCGAAGAAAACAATGTAGCCATTTCTTCTAACAATAATTCTGGAAAACGTTAAGGCATCAGTATGTGTGAACTAGGCGCGAACTGCCGCTACTAATAGTCTTAATTATATTTACAGTAGTTTCTCTGCAAATGAGTATTAAGTCTGCGCTTAAATGCCAGTACGGAAAGCACGGAAGACAAAAAAGTTGGCTGGAGTACGTAGATGATACGGCGCGACAGCTTGTAAGGTGAGTACCATGCTTTTAAAATAATTTAACACTGACAGAAACGTTTACTGATAACCCGATTGTCTGAGGACATCATGCGCATCTGATAAGCAAACTCCGATAAGAAACCGAGTACAATTAATTTGAACTCCGAATAAAAAATTTCAAGCAATCCTATAAAATTTATTGAATCAGTTGGGTCTGATTCAATAACTGTCAACTCATCTAACTCTCCTGACGTGTATTTGACAAGCTACGCCCATGCCGTAGAGTATGGCTGGGAACTTTATGAGTTCTTCACCATCCAGGAAGCCATCAACATACATCCCCGAGTTAGAGGTAGTGCTGATCAACATCCGCCTTCCCATCAGGAGACAATCAGACCAATTCGGGGGATTTCCGGTAGAAAATACCGAGTGGTAGTTAAATTTAAGTTGAATTCTCTGAAAGCATTGGCCTCCGATCCCATGGAAAAAATTGCTCTACAGATCTGGGATATAGTCAGTTTAAGTCAGTTTATTAAGGGAATATGGCTTTCGCCCTTGAGCACCTTATTCATATCGATAAACAGAAATAAAGTCATCAATTACATCAGCAAATGCGAAAAGTTAAGAAATTAGCGGTAAGTGTGAGCAAGGCGCAAACTGCCGCCGCTAAAACAATCATGATTGTATGTACAGTAGGTTCTCAACAAGTGAGCGTCTAGTCTGCACTTAAAGGATTTGACACTTTCGGAAAGAACGACGGCATCAGGGAGTCCATTCCATGCCCCGATGACCCTGTGTGAGAAGGCGTTCCGTCGGACGTCCGAATGAGCCCGCTTCCTTTGCAGTTTGAACGGATGACCACGCAGACGGTCAGTCCGGGCCAATTCAAAGAATTCATCAAAATCTAGGGCACACTCACAGCTTCTGACAATCCTGTAGGTTTGAATGAGATCGCCGCGCAGTTGCCTGTAATTAAGAGGAAACAGATATAGTTCGGTCAGCCTGGTTTCGTAAGGCAAATGATGAAGATTCTTGACCATCTTCGTAGCCATCGCCTGTACTCTTTCCAGTCGTTGATAATCTTTCTTTAACCACGGTCGCCAGGCCTAAACTGCCTACTCTAAGTGAGACCGGACGAATGCCCCAAAGGTTTTTCCGAACAGCTCCTTGTCGATCTACACAAATCCTCGCCTCAGCGCAAATAACACCCTTATCGCACTTTTGGCTGTCCTTTGACACTGTGAAGATGGTTTCAGCGAGGAGGTCATTGGGACGCCCAGGTCTTTCTGTTCCACAACATTTGAAAGGGACTGACCACCAAGGACATGTTGAAAGGAATCGTCCTCCTTACTGGTCTGTCTGGTGCGGAGTCTCAGGACCACACATTTGTCCACATTAAAATTGAGGAGCCAGCGAGCTGACCAACTGTTTAGGCGGTTGAGACTGTCTTGAAGCGCGTACCTATCTGCATCAGATCTGATGGGTCTCCACAGCTTAACATCGTCAGCAAACATGATGGCGCTGCATCCCAGGTCGTCGACGCAGTCGTTAATGTAAACCAGGAATAGCAACGGCCCTAAGACGGAGCCCTGGGGTACACCACTTAGAACGGGAGTAGGAGTTGACCTTGAGGCCTCAATGCACACGCTTTGCGATCTCCCGGTAAGAAAATCTGTTATCCATGTCAGCAGCGTTCCACTTATCCCAATTTCAGAAAGTTTGTAGATTAGGCGTTTTTGTGGGACGCTGTCGAACGCCTTCTTAAAGTCTGTGTATATGACATCAACCCTCCCATCCTCATCCAGTGCGCGAGTCCACTGCTCCGTCGAGAGCAATAAACTGGAAAGACACGAGCGGTTCCGTCGAAAGCCGTGCTGCAGGTCTGAGATTAAATGGCCCTGCTCCAGGAACTCCATAGTTGCTTTCTTAACTATGGCCTCCATTATTTTACGAATTGCGCAATATTTCAAGATTGTGGCACGATCGAGCTCGGAAAATATGTGCCGGTAGTAGCTAAATATACGTTTTTACATTTTTAACGAGATATTAGCTTGCATGCTACTTAACTGCCCGAAAACACAACTTCTCAAAAATTAACTAGATCTGTTCGTGAACCCTTGTGTTGTGCTTATGTGTCCTATGTACTAGTTTATTCATTTCTGCGTTGATAACTCCTTCGTTGTCATCCGATTCTGGCGGTAGCTGGTTTAGATCGCCGCTACTTCTTATACCAGGCAACGAGCATTCCTCAGCACAGCCACGGGACCAAATTGTAGTGATAAAAGGTATTAATAGAATAGGTTCATAACAGCAACTTTTGAGCGCTGTCGGTCTCCTTTGAACACAAGAAGGAACCTAAACAAACCCATTTATTTCCACTGCCTTTTTGTTTGGATATTTGGTTTGGGTGTCTGTTTAGCTAGTAGAGCGCAAATTGGAGTTTGTCTTAAGTTAAAAACAGCCTGAGTCCCGAGGCAAAATAACAGCAAACGTTAGAAAAGAGAACAATATATAACATTTCACAGGTTCAGTAAGAGTTCAAGGTCCAGAGGGACAATGCGACAACTGTGAACGATGGATAGAACATATATAAGTAGTTTGCTCTGCAGATCGCCGAGTGATCTACGGGATATTGACGAAGGGGGCGTGCATAAGTGAAATGTAATAAGAGGAGAAGACGTGTTAGCTCAGCCATTAGCAGTTTAATGAACAATCTGGAGTATACAATAAAACCGGGACCTCAGAAAGTCGAAGCCTTAACAGTTTACGTGAAAATCCCGGTTTTTTCCAAGCTAACAGACCGGTATGAAATTAGAAATTTGGTGTGGCCGGTGTCCCGATAGTCGGCCTATACTAAAAGTTCATTTTTAACGAGTGCGCATTCCAACGATTTAGTTATCTTTCATTTATTCCGTTCCATTAATCATCAACTCAGTCGTCAAGAGCGTCAAGATGGATGCCAGCTCCTATGAAAATGTATATCCCTGAATGAGACCAGCGGATGTATCAAATGTGGTTGTGTTGGAGGATGAGATTCTGATCAACACCAGCAATATTACGACGGAACATGTAGCACGTTCGCGGGTTACGGCACAGTCGCCCGTACAGGAGGTAGACCTTTTTTGAATAAGGTAACGGAGACCGGGATTTCTTAAAGATTTCAGAATCACTGTGCAGGTTTATAATCGAAGTGATTTTCCTTACGCTTTTCAAGGTATTCCTCATAGTTGATGGAGGATTGGAATTAAAGCAACAACCGCCAGTGGTAGGGAAGAGCACGCCTTCTCCATGCAGTTGGCATTCGATACATGGCATAACATGACTCGCATAAGTTCCATCTATTGCCAATGGCGTACTAGCAAGGTTGACCAACAGCAGGTGTCTTCCAAGGGATTTGTCGTCGTCCCATTGATCGTAGTGACTAACGTCCATTCGGCCTCCCGTTCTATGTTAGCGGCTGGTCAATGTGCAGTATTAGATACGGCACAGCTTCGGCTTTCCGACACAAACTAAAACATCTAGTGATGTTTCTGGTCCTCAACCACTTCGTAGTTCTCGCCTCTGAGAGTGTGATAGGATACTCTATTCTATCTTGGCCATCTCAGTGCAACTATCCACGACGCTTGCATCTGCATTCAGTGCACCTGTTACCCACACAGGAAAAAATTGTTCTCAAAGAGAGATAAGTAATTGTTCAACACAGAAGTCTTAACATCAGTGAAACTATAAAATATCCATGGAACATCACTGAACTGTATGCTTGCTGTCCGAGGGCGGCTGCTCAATTTGCCCGATAATTCGACTGTCGCAATTAATGATATCCATTCGTTGAAGTGGTCCTAGCAGGGATAATTTACAAACGATTTTTTATATTGAGGCGGACGGTCACATCATCTACCTCTCTTCCCTCCCTCACTTACATTAGTTCGACGTCAAAAAAGTAAGGGTGACCAGAATTTGGCTGCAAATGCAACCTGGACTTCCCTCAACATGTATCGGGCTACATTTTCGGACTCGGTTCTCACGTTCGTGAGGATCCTTTAAAGATCATGGTAAGAAAGTACCGTTTCTGCCTGTCCTCCGTTTTTTTTAGAAAGACCGAGTTATCCGTTCGATTTCTAATCTTCGATGTCACTATTCTTAGCGCGTCGTGGTAGATTCGAGTGCGCCAGATTTATTATAGTTAGGAATGCGCTGACTGGTCGCAGGGGTGGATTCCTCAGCATATGGTTCACTCTTCATCTTCCCTCTCTCACCTATCAATCGGCTGTTCCAGCCTACCAACCCACTGGTGATGGGATGGGAATGAGCTTGGTGACATGAAGACATATGCCTGCTGCGTGCCACAAGCGTGTGCGGCAGTAAACAAAGATTTCGCCCGTACACCATGTAGGTGTATAAACGCCTTTCGTGAACCAGGCTGACCCCCGTTCTGGTACAACCCACCTTTAACGCAGGTTATTATAGTCGGTACACTCATTTCATTAAATTCGGAATAGGGTGCTCATCTGCCGACTCATTAGTTAAGTCCATGGTCTCGATAAGAAGAGCCTAAATTAAATAAAAACGTCCTCATTCGTCGATTTCCACGCATAACAAATTACACATTTTGTCAGTCAGTTCATGCGCTACGCGCCAAATCTCAATGCCACAGAACAATTTTGAATTCGACACGCATACTATAACCATCGGCACCTGCATCAGTCGGTGCGTTAACTCATTTGAACAGCCAATTCGAACGTGCGTTTAAACGAGACGTTTGACCGCAAATAGGACACTTTGAACTGACAGCTTAGAAAAAAGTCCTATGAATCGTCAGTGGCGCGGCAAAGCGTTTGATTTTCACACCGACTGTCGTTCCGTATAACAGGTAAGAAGCGACGGTACCACGGAGTTCTAACCTAAATCACAATAAACAACGCTGGACTTCCGAAGCAAGCGTGCAGCATTCAACAATTAGTGAATGTGCGCATGAAGTCGGTCTGTATACTAAAATTTTCCTTGAACAAAAAGACGATCGGTGCGTATAACCACTGAAGTGCTTTACCATCACTATGCAATATGACGCTGGACACAGTTGGCGAAAATGAACTTCGCGTTTACTGTCCACATAGTCCAGTGTATTTTAAAAGCGCATTGCTTGGAGTGAGTGAGTCCGCCGCATCCGCAATGACTAACTGGGCATACTGTAGGGTCCGTTCATGCAGGCTGGCCGACGCTGTGTTTTCTGTACGGTGCAACTATTTTTCCGAAGGTGTCATGCTATCCGGGATAGTATGCTAACCCACGAAGATGTAAAGGACGAATAAATTCAAACACGGAGGAATCAAGCGCTTAAGGTGACTCCAGCAGCACTGTTATGTGATGTTGCTATGATAAAACTGGTGAGTTTCAACTGCTTCTGGATGGCAGTCGTCAAGCTATAAGAACGGTACGAGTTCATAGGGAGTTGCTGATTTGCGTGCATCGCAATCTGGTCACATCATCTTTCACTTTTCAGTATGTAGGTGGGGCTCTGATAACCTTGTCCATAGGATTTTCAGGAAGCGTGTGGCATTTTTTCTCAACAGCATAGCTTCTTTAAGATCTTTTCCCGATCCACGACAAAAAAGGGAAATACTACTGGGGTAACTCTATTGTAATATAATAGTGTTTTCTATATACGGCTCACCAATTGGGGGGAAGGGGTTTGATGAGTACACATTCATTGGATTTAATGGATCCCTAAGTAGTCGCGTTGATGACCACGGGAGCGGACTAATGCAGATTCACGTGCACGTCAGTGGTGCTGTGCCAACTCCGTGGGGCGGGTGATGGACACCTTCGATCGTGACTGTCCAACTGCCGAACGCTGACTTTCTATACCCACCGCGTTGGCTGAGTAAACCTTCCGCGGTGCAAAAAGATCATTTCGATGAGCTTTAGCCGGAGTGTTCTTAAGGCTGGGCAGGAAATTTCATAACACATCTGTGGAGATGTTTCATCGCCAGCGGACAACCTCTTCCAGCCAATTCAGAACTTTTAGGACCTTGGGTTTCTAAAAATAGGCTTTCCCGGAAAGCAGGGGTTGTCGTCGTGTTTCTAGACCTGTCCTGAAGACTTAAGGTGTCTTCAGCAGACCTCATGGATTTTCTTTTATGAACACCCGTGTTTGTGTCTTGTAAGAAAATGTTTACTTCTGGCTGAATGCCAAGCAAGGACATTGCCAGTGTTACTGAGTACTGTTTCATGTTAGGGGTTCAAGAGAGCCGAGTACAATTTAAATCGTAATATCTCAAAAAGTCGAAGGACTAAAGCGCTACTTTTGTCTGTCCGAAATGGTTAGATTTAGTTCATTGTTGTCGAATTTTCATTAACGCTATTCTATAACCGAGAGATATTGCAAATATGCCATACTTTTTTTACTTTATTCAATTCACGTGGGAAATTATTATCTTTGCTTAACTATTAAAAAGCTGTAAGACAAACAAACAAGCACTCTGAAAGCTGTTATAAAATGCAAGAAGTTCATTATTTTGAGAACGCTGGTACCATCTTTAAAACAAACCCACAAAGCTCTACTGGGAAGTAGGCTCGACCGCTGACTCCTATTAATTGGGATCTCCAGGGCTTTTCGGTGCAACAATAACTCCCTCTTTTGCGTCACTAACATTCAGTCAGTCAGTGTATTTGAGGGAAATAGGCTTACGCCTTTGAACTCCCTATTTGTACATAAAAAATCGATAAACAAGCAAAAATGTGAAGAAATTACAGCATTAAGTGAATGCATACATTGATTCACATATGTCACTAGTCACATGGTTAAAAAGTCGTTTAGTCCGCTTGTTGCTGCAGCATATATCTGTCAAGGCGACATTTAAATGTCTCCACAGACTGAGACATAACAACCGTCTCGGGCAGGTTATTCCACGGTTCC